GAGCGCAGGCACCTCCCCTGAGCCCTTGTCCCTCTCGGTGTCTTTGCAGGGCCTGTCTGGGACAGTGTTTCAGCTACAGCGTCCCCAACACCTTCCCTCAGTCCACAGAGTCCCTGGTTCACTGCGACTCCTGCATGCCAGCCCAGTCCATGTGGGAAATTGTGAGTATCCCCACCTGCGCCACGGTCTGGTCCACTCAGGCACTGCTCTGCCACTATTTTAGGGCAAGTTGTTCTCCTTCCCTGAGGTTCTCCCACTCGTCATTTCTTTCTGGGGTGTCTCTCAGGTGATCGTCCCTGTCTCGAGGTGCCCGGGTGGAAGGGGCTGCTGGAAGCAACATGACTGCTGTGATGAATGATGCGTTTATCACTGTGTTTGCAGAAGCATCCCCTGTCTTTATTCATCCCTGGGCTCATTTCATGTGCCCATTCTCTCCACCACTCCCTTTGTCGCCTCCTCCCACTTGGGAATTTGTGCCTTCTTGCGATGTCCAGAAGCGCTTCCCACAGCCCATCTGCCAGTCATGCCCAGACCTCGCGGTTCCCTGCCACCACTGACCCTGGCAGAGCCATCAGCGCTGGCTCAGGGGCACACCCAGAGGAGCTGGGTTCAGCTCTCTGCTTTGCTCCCAACTCAGGAATTTGGGCTGATGGTTTAGCCCAAACAATCTGAGACGCTCAGCACTGTGTTTTGTGGGTGGCCTTTGCAACTACGACTGATATTTCCGTGCCGGTAGTGCTTGAGAGCAGTGTCCCGCTTGAGTTGGTGCATTTTCTCCAGGTCTCTGCCGCTCAGGACCTCATGAGACATTCCCAGAGAGCTCTTTACCTTGCAGACTGACCGTGGAGTTTTGTTTGGAGGGATAGCAAACCATCACTTTCGCCTTAAGATACCCTCAAGCCTGCAGGGCACGGGGCAGGTCAGCCTGTCGGCAGCAGGATGCCGTTGAGCCTGCACGCTCCTTCACTGTGTCCTTGTCCTTCTACCCAGGTGACATTGGACTGTCCAGGCAACGATGAGATCCCCAGGGTTGACAAGCTGGTGGAGAAGATCCTTCACTGTAGCTGCCAGGCTTGCGGGAAGGAGCCGAGCCACGAGGGAGCCCTGTTCAGCGTCTACCTGAA